CGGTTAAGTATTTGATTAGCTATTAAAATAGTTTATCCCCACATATTCTTGGGTAAAACTGAACTTTCAATAAGGCATTCATCATCTCTTTCAATGTTTGATTTTTTTCTTTCCGCAATTCCATTGGATTGGGAGTGTATGGGGCGATAGTTTGATGAATAATGTCAAATTCCAAACATATTTCTTCAAACGTAGATACATATTCACCATCTTTAGCACTTCTTATCATTTTGATCCTTTTGTAAGTTGCGTTTTAACTTTATTTTTGTATTGATTAAATGAACAATAGCTTCATCTTTACTATTAAGCAAATAAACATAGCAATATTATGTGTTATCATCAATAAAAATTATAATAAAAACTTTTTTACCCCACAAGATGGTGATGATTTCATGTCACAAATATTTGTATGAATTATGTGTAGAGGTTCAAGATTTCTCTCAACCGATTTGAAAGAATGTTTAGTAAATTTATATTCAACACACTTCACACTTTGATTGTTTGCAATCAAATTTTGGTAACAGTTCCAAATTGATCATTTTTCTTAAAGATTTGTAATTCATGTGTCCTAATATAGCATGCAATAGATTATTTTAATCGAGTAAATAAGCGGAATAATCATTCTTATTACCATTCATGGTCATTACATTCAATTTGTTCTTCATTTAGATAACATTTACCAACATATGTCATTCTTACTTATTACAAGTTTGTCGGAAACAAAAACACATTTGAATCCGTGTTTCACCATCAATGATGTCGACGATAAGTTTTTGTGAATCTCCATTACATTAAGAACATTAGTCAGAGTCACTATCTTTCTGGAGGTCATCTTAAGAGAAATCTTTTCAGTCCCTTCAACCTTTGCAATTATGAAATTTTCTACGAAAACAGTTTCTCCATCTTTGGCAGAAACATAAGATGAGAACATCCACTTGTTGGTACACACATGGCAGATCGCACCAGAATCCATCTACCATTCTTTGGGATTTCCATCCAAGTTAGCTTCCAAGATTATGGTACACAAGTCAATATCTTCAACTCCGGAAGAGATCTATGTGATGTTAACATTACTTCTTTTCTTGGTCTTTAGACCACGACAATCCACAACTCGGTGACTAAACTTACCGCAGTTATGGCAAGAACCCTTAAATTTCTTAATGAATTTGTTCGAGTTATTCTTTTGGTTAGAAAAATTCTTTCTTTTCTTACAACAGATAGAACATGCTCAATAACGTTTCCTCCTAAGACCGAGTTTGTCTTTCAATTCAGTCATCTTATTGTCTTGCTCGATCGTGAGATGGATAATCAAGTCTTCAAGTGATATCTCTTTGCGTTTGTGTTTCAAATAGTTTTTAAAGTCTCTCCACGATGGTGATAACTTCTCAATGAAGTCATCTAGCAAAATGACACCAATAATGTACAATTCCGATAATGATACAAACAGTTATGATAAAAAAATCACTATATCAATATTATTTTCAAACCGAAAAAACCATATACGAACCCACGGTAAACCGTGTCTCAGTAAAAAAATTATTTCTAACTCGATATATACAGTTAAATGGAATATATCCTCATAGGATAGGATGAACGTAATTCAAACAACTCCGTCAAATTGTCGAAACTAAAAAACGGTTTGAATCACAAAAAGAAAAGATGTTTTTCTTTTTTTTTTGTAAAAAAAACTTTTTTTTTGTCTTTTGCTTGATTTAAAAAAATGAATACAAAGAACTCTATTTATAGGACTAAAATTTTTGTAACATTTTAAAACCATAAATATATTTATGTTATAAAAATTTAAATGTTGAGAATAACATACAAAATATTTTCTATCCTTTTTTTTAAGTTTCGGAAAAATGATAATATATTTGTGATGTGCGACGCCGAATGAAATTAAGTATTTTTATTTTTGTATTATTTAAATAGAAAACATTCAAAACCTTTTTTTACTTTCTCTCTCTATGTACCTTTTTTCACCTTAGTTTTTAGGAAAAATTTGCGTAAATGTTAAAAAAAAAGCATCTTTGCATTCTATACTTCTACTATTATAATCTTTGTATTCTATATTTTTTAAGTTAAATAATCATCATACCCTTCTATATTATTACAACCTGCAGATTTTCTACATTTATAAAAAAAATACTTGCATAAATTTTAGTTTCCTCCACATACATGAAAAAAATACTTATATGGATTTTGTTTTCTTATATAAGTATAGAAAAACACTTGTATGGATTTCGTGAAAAAACATTTGCAGGTCAGCATGTCAGCATGTCTTCACATCACCAGGTTGGCATGTGACATGTCGCATGTCGCAAATCACCTGTGGCATATCGCAAGTGACTTGTCGCATATCGCAGGTCACATACTTGGAACCTGTCGTCATTTTTTGTTTTAGAAATTTCATCAAACACCTTATGTGCATAAAATAAAATTATCATATGAATACCATAGAAAAAGAAATCAGAAAGAAAAATATTTAATTAGATAAGATAAACTGTAAGAAATAGAGAAAATAGAACAAATATTTTAGTGAAAACAGAAGGACAAATCTCATAACGCAATGATTTTTAAAAGACAGATTATCACATAATCGCAGAGAGATATAGACGAGAAGATTCAGTCCAACCAGTAAAAGGATCGAGAGAATAGGTAAATGGATATGATCGTAGTTATCGTTAATTATCTGGTCGCGTTTGCATTATGTTCAATGTAATCACGGTCGTAGTTATCTGGTCATAGTGAAGTCACAGTCGTAATTTTCTGATTGTAGTGAAGACATTGTCGTAGTTATCGGGTCGTAATTATCTAGTCGTATTGAAGTCATGGTCGTAATTATCTGGTCGTAGTGAAGTCACGGTCGTAGTGAAATCACGATCGTAATTATCTGGTCGTAGTGAAGTTACGGTCGTAGTGAAATCACGGTCGTAACTATCTAGTCGTAATGAAATCACGGTCGTAATTATCTAGTCGTAGTGAAGTCACGGTCGTAATTATCTTGTCAGAGTGAAATCACAGTCGTAATTATCTGGTCGTAGTGAAGTCACGGTCCTAGTGAAATCACAATCGTAATTATCTGGTCGCAGTGAAGTCACAGTTGTAGTTATCTGGTCGTAATGAAATCACGGTCGTAGTTATCTGATCGTAATGAAATCACGGTCGCATGTCATTTGCCAGACCGTAGGTAATCTATCGCAGATTGTAGATCATTTACCACAGAATGCAGGTCATTTTTCACAGATGGTATGTCATCTGCTACAGTTTTCTGTTATAGACATTTCATCAAACACCTTATGTGCATAAAAAATGATCAGAATATCACAAAAAGAAATCAACCATAAGAATATTTGAATAGATTATAGTTTGTAAGAAATAGATAAAATATTGTAGAAAAAATAAGATCAAATAGCAAAACATATCGATTTCTAAAAGATAGATTATCATAAAATCACAGATCGCATGTCAAATGATCTACGACCTGCGATAGATCATGTGTCGCAGGTCGCATGTCATCTGCCAGACGTAGGTCATATGTCGTAGACTATAGGTCATTTACCGCAGAATACATGTCATTTTTCACAGACGGTAGGTTATATGCTATAGTTTTCTGTTACAAACATTTTATCAAACACATTATGTGCATAAAAAATTTATATGAATATCACAGAAAAAGAAATCAACCAGAAGAGATATTTGAATAGATTAGACAAACTATAAGAAATAGATGAAATAGATAAAATATTAGAGAAAATAAGATCAAATAGCAAAACATACTGATTTCTAAAAGATAGATTATCACAAAATCGCAAGTCGCAGGTCTTTTGACTTACGACCTGCGACCAGTTCATGTGTCACAGGTCACATGTCATCCAGACTGTAAGTCATCTGTCGTAGACTATAGGTCATTTACCATAGAACGTATGTTATTTTTCATAGACGGTGGGTCATCTGCTATAGTTTTCTATTACAGATATTTCATCAAACATCTTATGTGTATAAAAAAAATGATCAGAATATCACAGAAAAAGAAATCAATCAGAAGAGTATTTGAACAGATTATATAAATTGTAAAAAATAGAGAAAATAAATAAAATGTTGAAAAAAAATAAGATCAAATAGCAAAACGTATCGATTTCTAAAAGATATATTATCACAAAATCGTAGAAAAATACTTTGAAGGATAATTTGGGTATTTAGAAACAAAAGTATAGTATACAAAGTTATTTTTTTGTGAAATATTTTGTAAATTTTGTTTTTTTGTATATTTTACCAAATGCCCCTAGTTTTTATTGTTGATCTAAAAGGTTTGTTGTTTTGTTATAAAAAGTGTATAAATAAAACAAAAATTATATATATATATATAAAGAAATGAAAAAATGAAAGAATATATATACTATAGATATCATTTTATTATTATATTATAAAATTATTTTTATATATGGATTGAATACAATTTGTCAACAATAATATTTCATAACAAACATATATTCATATTATAATAACAATTATATTTCAAATTAAACAATTTAAATATATATTATTAAATAAATTTATCTACTCATGCTAGAAAAGTTTTCAATAAATCTTAAAACATAAAAAAACATAAAAATAAGAATATAGAAATATAATTTTAAAAATAAAATAAATAATAAAATTGATTATGTATAATTTTTATTAAATCAAATTAAGGTGTCTTGCAAATTAGTTATAATAAAAGATAAAACAAAAATATATAATAATTCACGCAAATTTCCTCAAATAGTTATTAAATATTTTACCAAATTTAGATTTGTTTTTGTCTAGAATTAGTATTATATATTTATGTATGGAATATATCATTTTGTATTATTATTTATTTTATATTTTAACGGCTGGAAATTAATTACTCTGACACGTGTTGACGATTTATTGGTAATTCTTTTTTTCCCGTCATCTACTCCGCTCTCCAAACCTACCCTCTCCCCCTCCTATAAAACCGGTCTAAACCTTGACCCAAAATTCCAGAAATCTCCGCACACACACCACTACCATTCATTTCCTCTGCTCTTCTTCTTCTTCTTCTTCACCGCCGGAAAAAATGGCGACGGGCTGCGACGTGAAACTAATCGGTGCGTGGGCGAGCCCATTCGTGATGCGTCCTCGCATCGCTCTTAATCTCAAATCCGTCCGCTACGAGTTCCTCGAGGAGACATTCGGATCCAAGAGCGAGCTTCTTCTCAAATCCAACCCTGTCCACAAGAAGATCCCGGTTCTGATCCACGCCGATAAACCTGTTTGCGAGTCGCTCATCATCGTGCAGTACATCGACGAGGCTTGGAGCTCATCTGGACCGTCTCTCCTCCCTTCGGATCCGTACGACCGAGCCGTTGCTCGCTTTTGGGCTGCTTACATTGATGAAAAAGTACTGTTTCCACTTCAAATTCTTCTTCGGATTCCACGCTTTGCGAAAGCGACATCGGTTTGAGAATGAATATGTTATGCGAAAAACTGTATAATATCCCTCACGTTTGATTTATTGTGTTCTTGAAGTGGTTTCCCTCCATAAGAGAGATCTCGAAGGCTTCGGGAGAAGAAGCGAAGAAAGCAGCGATATCTCGAGCTGAAGAAGGGACGGGGCTCGTGGAGAAGGCGTTCGTGGAGTGCAGCAGAGGAAAACCTTTCTTCAATGGCGACAATGTCGGGTATCTCGACATAGCCGTGGGCTCGTTCCTGGGTTGGTTGAGGGTGACCGAGCTGATGTCGGGTCATAAACTGTTGAACGAAACCAACACTCCATCCCTGACCAAATGGGCAGAGAGGTTCTGCAATGATTCCGCTGTGAAACCTGTCATGCCCGAGACGGAGAAGCTCGCTGATTTCGCCAAGAAAATATTCTCGAAGCCTCCTCCTCCTTCTGCATGAGGCGACGCTCCTAACCTGCTTTATATGTTTCGTATGAAATAAAGGATTCGGGTATCTGGCAACTATTTCTGTGGGTTTTCTTTGAATTCGAGCAGAGATCAAGCAAGAATGGGGTTTGAGATGGTTCTTTGTGTGATTGCTTGTATCTTTGCTTGGTGAAATAAAAAATTTCAATCGATGCGTAGTAGACATGTTACGTTCATGAATGTGGTAAGTTTTCTCCGTATTCAAGGATGTCCATGAAGTTATAACAAATATACAATCTAATCTAGATTTCCTTTTTTAGTAATATCTTGTAAAACAAATAAAAATTTCTTTCTATATATATACACTTTCGAAGTTTAAATCCTATACATATTATTGAAATGATCATAACATCGATAACTCTAACTCAACACAATTTCGTCTTGCCCGATGACTATATTTTCTGTATCAAGATTTTGTCCAAAAAAAAACATAAACAACAGACCCATATTCAATCCAATTCACGTCACAGTAACATCTTCGTAATAGTTTCTGCGTGCATCTGTCGTCATCGTTGGCATCATCGTTTTCCATGCTTTTTGCAGTCGGTGGCATCGTTTTCCATGCTTGGAAGACGTGGAGGGTAAAATGGTATTTTCCTATCCAAGGTTACGTACACATCTGTGAAATACCAAATATCTCTTGCGTGCCTGTCGTCGTGGCTTCTGTATTGTCCACACAAAGTGATATCTGGATGATCGAGTAAGTAAAAAAAATACAATACCTTTGTCCCTTGGTAAAGGGGGCCGGGGGCCGGTGTTTCGGTATGGTATTTTAGAATCCAAATATGCTATTTTTTTTAAAGAAAAATCGTACATGAATAAATATCTAAATTATAAAATCTCTATATAAATATTTAAATTTTTCTAAAATTATATATAAATACCTAAACTTTTAAAAAAATTTCAAATAAATTCAAAAATATGTTAATAATATAATCTATTTTTATTTAAAAAAACCTAAAATTTATATTTATTTGAATTTTTGTAAAAAATCTAAATATTTATATAAGATTTTTAAAATTTCACTATAAAAATTTTATAGTTCAGATATTTATAAAATTTTTATAAAAATTAAAGTATTTATATGTTATTTTCTTCTTTTTTTTACCGAATTATTCAAAAAATTTGAATGATAATTTTTTAGAAATTTTAATTTTTTAAACCGAATGTATCGAACTAAATTTTTTAAAAATTGAAAAAATAAAAATTGTTTAAAAAATCTAATTTTTTTTTAATAAAAACGAATTAAATCGAAATCGAATAGAATCTAATATAAAATAATAACCAATTCGTATATATTTTTATAGAAACTAAAAAATCGGACAATTTCCGAACCAAATACGGAAATGTCAGTCTATTTTATACGCACCACTCTTTCTTCTTCTTTCATTTCCGTGGGGAAAGAAATGGAAAAGAGAGAGGAAGTGAGGCTTTTGGGTGCATGGTACAGTCCGTACACTCTAAGAGCAAAGATTGCTCTTCAGCTCAAATCCCAGGACTACGAGTCGGTGGAGGAGAACATGTTCGGGTCCAAGAGCCAGAACCTTCTGGAATCGAACCCGGTTCACAAGAAAGTACCGGTTCTGATCCACAACTCTAAACCGGTTTGCGAGTCCATGGTCATCGTTCAATACATCGACGAGACATGGGATTCATCAGGACCCTCCATTCTTCCCTCCGATCCTTATCTTCGGGCCATCTCTCGGTTCTGGTCTTCCTTTGTTGATGACGTGGTAACTCATCACTTGTATTTTATAAATTGATAACCCTTTTCCTTGTATTTCTTTTTTTATAAATTGGGATTCATCTTTGCTTGGGTCTTGTAAATATGGTCTCGTATTTCATGCATTGGACTTTAGTGTATAATCCATATGGTTTGAACATTTTGGATTTAGGTTTTATTATTTTAGAGTTTAGGATATGCCTATTTGGTTTTATGTCGGTTTTATATTAAATTTAGAATTTATTCGAATGCGATTTCTATTTAAGAAAACTTTCATCTAAATCAAATATATATATTTTTTTGTAATATTGAATTCATGTTTGTTTATTCATTATTGAATTCAGATTTGTTTCGGGTTAAGGTATTATAGTTAAATAAAGTGAAAACAGTACCACAAAAAGGAAACATTGCATGATATCTGTCTTTTTTTGGGTATAAGATATCTGTCTTCTTAGTGAAACTCAGGTGAAACCACAAAAAATGTATGAGTTGGTCGGAATCGATTCGAGATTAGGCCGACAAAGTCAGTTATAGATCAATCACAACACCCTCCTTTTGCAAAACGCAGTGGTTCGCGGCGTTTAGAGCAGCGGCCGTGTCCAAGTCGGAGGATACGAAAGCTAAGCTCACGGAAGAAGCCGGGGCAGCGTTGGGGCGCTTGGAGGAAGCATTCGCGAGCGTAAGCCAAGGGAGAAGGTTCTTTGGCGGGGAGAGCATCGGGTTTATCGACATCGCCCTCGGGAGTTTCATGGTCCTCGTGAAGGCCAGGGAGAAGCTGAAAGGAGAGAAGATTCTTGACGAGATCAAGACTCCGTCCCTTCACAAATGGGCTGATGACTTCTTGTCAAGTGAAGCTGTGAGAAAGGTCGCGCCAGAGATCGATAAGGTTGCCGAGTTTCTTGGAGAGCTTGAGGTTAAAGCCCAATCAGCTTCGAGATCTTGAAATTGCTCCTTCCTTGGAAATAACTATGCCATGATGTTTGCATATATAATAAATATAACGTGTGATTGTGGTGTGTGTTATATCTTCTAACTTATGGTCAGTCCACTCCTTATGCAAGTGGACCGGAATAACCGATAACTCCTAGCCCGTAGCCAACGGGTCCTTAAGAGTGGCTAGAAACGGATCCGGATCTTTGAGTGATTATTGTTACGGTACGAAAATTCGCGGACGCATTTCCGTACCGTAACCGACCGAGAGTCCGCGTCCGCAGTCATCCGGGAACGAGGGGAAGCTCGTCCGTGACCGTCCGAGACTGAGCGTGCCAAGAAAATGCAGGTCAAAGTGTGGGGGACTCGTCCAAGCGTCGTCCAGACCCGTCCAGCACCGTCCAGACCGTTCCGGAACCTTCCAGAAATGCGTACGCGCGCGGTCAAGCCCGGGAACGACCCAGAGCGTGCGGGAGAGTTCCAGAAGCTTCGGGAGACTCCGCGAGACCGTCCGCGAGAGTCGGGACGAGAGTGGCCGAGAGAGTTCGAGAGAATTCCGGACCACCGACCTAAGGGCGCCATCCTTAGGAAATATCTGGTCGGGACACGTGGCACAATCTGGACCGTCCATCCGAATAAATCCGGACCGTCCGTTTTTCTCCACAACCGACCTAGCCATGTATAAATAGGCCATCCCCCTCATTCGGATGAATCAATCTCCGCCTTGTACACACACAAACACTAGCCTTGTAAAATTTCCCGATCGATAAAGCTTTCGTTGTACACGATCGCTTTCCTTTTCCGCTGCGCACCCAAAATCTAGGCTTACTTAGTCCCGAAATCGCCCAAGAGACTAAGTGCCGCACCGGTTAAGTTTTGTGAGAAAACTAACCGCGTGACAGGTGGTATCAGAGCAACGGCCCAGTCCTGAGTCCGAAACTCTACCACGACACAATGGCCAGCGAGGAAGCCAGCTTTGTTGCCGAACTCGAGCAACCGTCCGAACAAGTGGAGTCGGTCCGCGGCCGGGAGCCGACTCGCGTTCAGCCGAAGCGGGGAAAGTCTAAGGCAAGGCCCAGTCCAACGGACCTCGTGGAACGAAAGGTCCAGGTCCTTGAGCGATCCGTGGATGCTCATGCGGCCATGATTGGCGAACTCTCCGAACAATTCGAGAACATTGTTGCGGAAAATGCGGAGATCACTCGTGCCGCCAAGGAAATGATTATGGAACTTGGCCGCACATTCCGTTCGGAGCTCGAAATGCTTACCCGCGAAGTGACAGAGATTCGACAGTTCGCCGAACGCGAACTTAGCGCATTGCGCAAGGATCTGGAGAGGGTCCAATCCGAGTGCCAGTCCCGTCACCATGCGAGTCAAGCATCAACCAGCGGTACGGCCGGACTATCCGTACCAAATGTCAAAGTCCCGAAGCCTGCGATGTTTGACGGCACACGCAGCGCTTCAAGGGTGGAGAACTTCCTATTTGGCTTGGACCAATACTTCGAGGCCATCGGAGTAATGGACAATGCCTCAAGGATTGGCTACGCTCCAACCTTCCTACGGGATGCTGCGCAATTATGGTGGAGACGCAAGCATGCCGATCGCGAAAAGGGACTTTGCGACATCCATACTTGGGAGCAGTTTAAGTCCGAATTGCGGAAACACTTCGTGCCCCACAATGCGGAGCACGAAGCCCGAGGGAAGCTGCGTCGTCTTCGACAAATGGGAAGCATCCGAGATTACATCAAGGATTTCACAACCCTTTTGCTCGAGATTGACGATATGTCTGATAAGGACGCCCTCTTCCACTTCAAGGATGGATTGAAGGATTGGGCAAAGGTGGAACTCGATAGACGAGGCGTGCAGACTTTGGATGATGCCATTGCCGCAGCCGAGTCCTTCTCCGAGTATGCTCCACGCGCTGCAACCGACAAGTCCTACCCTGTGAAGAGTGGGGGAGAGGAATCCGCCCTCAAGGACCCAAACCGCAAGGAAGCATGAGGATCGTCCAAACATCTTGAAGGGAGTTATGGGAGACCCCAACAAAAGGAGTGGACGAAGCCCAAACCGTCACAACCATGCTTCATGTGCAACGGACCACATTGGACCCGTGACTGCCCAAATAGGAAGGCGGTGAACGCCATGCTAGCTGAGCTCCAAAAGCCGACCCAAGACAGGGACGAGGATGCCCAAGCTACCATGGGATCCTTACAGTTCCTCAGCGCCATGTCCAAAACTCCTCTGACTAAGCCCGGAAAGGAGCAAGGACTTTTGTATGCAGACGTGGTTGTCAACGGCAAGACTACCACGGCCATGCTGGACACCGGGGCAACACACAATTTCATCGATGTTGAGGAGGCCAAACGACTTGGTCTCAACATCGCAGGAGACCGAGGCACGGTCAAGTCGGTCAACTCCTCGGCCAAACCCATCATTGGGCGAATCAAGGGAGTGGACGCAAAGATGGGTTCCTGGACCGGGAGACTAGACTTCACTGCAGTCGCCATGGACGACTTCAAGCTGGTGTTGGGTCTAGAGTTCTTCCGAAAAGTGAACACACTCTTCTCGGCATCCACAAAGTCCCTCATCATCCTTGATGGTGACAGGCCATGCACAGTCCCATTACAGAGGATTGAACGCCCCGCCGCACTCATATCCGCGACTCAGTTCAAACGAGGCATGAAGTCGGCGGATAACTTCATCATTGTCGTAAAGGACGTCAACGAGGACCGAACCAAGCCCTCACGTCCGCCAAAGACGCGCAAGGCAGCGTCACCAGCCCTGGAGAATAAGAACCGTCCGCGGAAGGGACGGAAGGCCAATGCCAAACGGAAAGCATTGCGCCGCGACACCCAGCTAGCCAGTCTGAGCGCTAGCCACTCACGGGACCAACCGTCAAGTCCCAAGACGACGGACTCGTCTCCCCGGAAGAAGCCACGGGTACGGTTCACATCCGAACCAACCGCCCTAAATGCAACATTGGCAGGCACATTCGCCAATGTCAGCCACGACCGCGAACACGCCCGAGCTTGGGCCATCGCCCAGGCCTGTCTCGGCAGAGCCATCCGAGACCTGGAACACTGGGACTCGTCGCCAAGGCATCACGTGCATGCCAAGGACACGACGAGGACGTCGCGCCATTGAGTGGGGGAGAATGTTACGGTACGAAAATTCGCGGACGCATTTCCGTACCGTAACCGACCGAGAGTCCGCGTCCGCAGTCATCCGGGAACGAGGGGAAGCTCGTCCGTGACCGTCCGAGACTGAGCGTGCCAAGAAAATGCAGGTCAAAGTGTGGGGGACTCGTCCAAGCGTCGTCCAGCACCGTCCAGACCGTTCCGGAACCTTCCAGAAATGCGTACGCGCGCGGTCAAGCCCGGGAACGACCCAGAGCGTGCGGGAGAGTTCCAGAAGCTTCGGGAGACTCCGCGAGACCGTCCGCGAGAGTCGGGACGAGAGTGGCCGAGAGAGTTCGAGAGAATTCCGGACCACCGACCTAAGGGCGCCATCCTTAGGAAATATCTGGTCGGGACACGTGGCACAATCTGGACCGTCCATCCGAATAAATCCGGACCGTCCGTTTTTCTCCACAACCGACCTAGCCATGTATAAATAGGCCATCCCCCTCATTCGGATGAATCAATCTCCGCCTTGTACACACACAAACACTAGCCTTGTAAAATTTCCCGATCGATAAAGCTTTCGTTGTACACGATCGCTTTCCTTTTCCGCTGCGCACCCAAAATCTAGGCTTACTTAGTCCCGAAATCGCCCAAGAGACTAAGTGCCGCACCGGTTAAGTTTTGTGAGAAAACTAACCGCGTGACATTATGAATCGTATGATTTGGGATCCCAACAGTTAAGGTTGCATATAACACTATCAAACACGGAAGCTGAAGAGGGAAGAGACATGGTTGGCGAGGAGACATAACACTATCAAACATCATACACGTAACATTTACAAACACAAAATGTAAACTGCCGAGACAAAAGAAAAAACAAAACTGGTGCATAAAACTCAGAGGTTCCTCTCGTGGGGCTCGAGCCAAGGGAATCCCAAGAACTCGAAAACTTCTTTCTCCGTTTCGAACCTCAAACTCGCCATTGCTTTCTCACCCTGAGAACAGTATGTCGATCAGAACGGCCGTTTAAGGGTTTATAGGGTTCACGTATAACTTCCTTACCCGTTTTCTGCCTGAGCTGCGAGTAGTGGGGAACAATCCTGTGTCATCGAGCCGAAACCCTTTGGATTCCGACAACAATCTCAACCTGCATTTGGCCATGTAATATACAATATCATGTACTAATTTAAGGTTGCTTCCCATCTCCAATCTCTCACGGAGTATGAAGATGGGCATAAAGTTTTCGACTTTTTCTGGTTTTGCAATTCTTCATCAAGGATATATACATCGAGACATATATATATACACGTATAGATTCCCAGTTTGCAGCGTATACTTGGGTTTTGTCCGGTGTATGTTCGAATATGGTTATCTTCCATTGCTGGAATATGGACATTGTTCCTGAACGGTGGAAGAAAACTATGGCTATTGTTACCTTCTGTTCAACACGTCGTTCCCAGTCCAAGCTATGAGTCCGAATGCATAGATATCCCTCGGGTACACCTATGAAACGGATCGGTTACATCATGTTGTGCATATAGACAGAAGCCACAGTGAAGAGAGTTTCTCAAAACTACCTTCAAATCGATGCGGTGTCTGAGCTCCCGACCAGGATATGTGCACAGGCCAAAGTACGTATCGACACCTGAATCAGTTCCCTGTAATTTTATACACAGAAGTTGAGGTAAAACTTGGAATTAAAGAAGATAGTGAAAGAAAAACCTATATAGATTTAGATGCAAATTATCTGAGATGATCTATCCTACGAGCCCGGTGCATAGAAAGAAAGAAAAATCTGTAATATATATAGGGACAACAAACTTTTATTCAATGGTGAAAAGAGACCTAATTCTTCTCTTTGAGAAGCACAATGAGATCTACTGAACACCAAACCAAAGGAAACGATAAGGAATGGACTTACCTCTTCACTGTGGGTACTGAAAATGAGATCTTCTCTCAAAAACTTCGTCTCCTTCAAATGCTTTACGAACTTCGTCAAGAAACCCTTATGACTGGTGAGAAGGAAGATGAAGAAAACCGACTATTTGAAAAGAAAAAAAATACTAAAATTTGAAAGAATATCATTCTTATAAATGATATATCTTTGTGAAAATTTTGATTAGTTGAATACAAAAAAGGGTAAACAAAAGCCTGGAAATAAGATATCAATCAATGCACCTTTGTCCATCAGGATGTGTGATAACTATATCTAGATCTCCGCAAGTAGCTTTCCCACGTCTATACGATCCTCCACATACAATAACCACCTGTAAAAAAGACATTGAAAGTTTTCATTATTGGGTCGAAATTTCTTCCTTCAAAAACAACGGAAAGCAGAGAAACGGAACAGAGCTTACGCCGGGCAAAATTTCTTCTCCGACTCTCTGTAAAAGTTGTTCCATCTCTTGCACCTGCAATTGAACATGAGAAGGAAAAATAAACCGATGATTAAAGGGTAGTAGAATGAAAAAGTTTCATGTTAAAGTCTAGAACTTGCACCTCATTGCGTGGAATTCTCGTCTTAATATCATCGAAGTATTTCAATCCCAACCTCTGAGCATGTGTCAGTGATTCCTCATTCTTCAAATCATCAAGTGTTCGATGCCCTTTCTCATATAGCTTGAGCGCAGTTGCTGGACCGATACCCCAAACTTCTCCAAACAAACTGATTGTCCTTACCTTCAGCCACAGAGGAGAAGAGAAAAAGTTGAAAACAGAAGACGGGAGAATTATGACCGAGGAGGACTTTGAAATTACCTTATCATCTGTTTCAAAGTGTTCCAACTTGGATAACTTCCCTGTTGTCACAATCTCTTGAATCTGTCATAGTCAAGTAAAAGAAAAGTACTTCATTTTCTACTAAAGGTGACAGATCACACACACGAACGAATATATGTCAGACCCATTTTATCCACTTACATGATCTCTCATTGACTTTCCAATCCCAGGAAGGTGTTTGAACTGGTCGACGCTTTCAATCTTAAAAGGTAATTTCTCAATGACAGGGATAGCTTTGTAATAGCTGAATGACCGTCTATCATCACCCAAAGCTTTTAACAGAGGAACCAAAAAAATCGATGTTTTTTAGGTCAAGATTACAGAGCAGTAGAAAAGCAAACACCAGACAGGATCTTACCTCTGTATATGTTTATCAGTTTTCCAAATATCTCGGTGATATTTCTGTTCAAATCAGGCGGTTTGTACACCGATGTAGACTGAAACTTAACACAATTTCGACAAGAATCCATAAGGGTAGAACTTTATAAGCAAAAAACAAGCTAACTCTGCAGTAAATACATACATTATTTAGTCTCACCTCTGAATGTGGAGTTACGGAATCTTCTGCATTGCCTTCTCCAGAACTGGCACTTGGTGAGGGACTACCGGCGCTTGTAGGCAAATCAGGGGATTCGCGTGAAGAATCTTTAGTTGCATTCTTATGGATTTCTGAGGCGATAAAACCTTCATGACTGTCGGGTGAAGATCTATTTCTTTTCTGAGCTGATGGTTGTTCTTCACCAGCACCGATTTCAGCAGGCGACTTGTCTGATTTCTCTGTTTCATCTGAGTCAATTGTGAGAGCATACAAGTCTTCATTAGCCTTCTCCCCAGCACTTAGGCTATCTTCTAACCATTGGTAGAGCAGAAGATGCTGCAAGAAACAGATATATTTGTAAATTAACAAAAAACGAAAATTTCTAAGATTGGAAATCCATCCTTTCCCCCAAAATTCCTCAAATTTTCAGATAAGATCATCACAATTAGTACTCCAAAGTTCAATAGAGTGACTAAGGCTGCTTATATCTATACAGAGATAAAGACAACCTCCCATTTTTATGCATTATATGATATTACACGAAATTACTCAGTTGACATCGCATAAGAAGCGAATCTTAACATCAAAAACTGTCTCGAGAAAGCACCTGGAAGAGGAAAATTACCATGTACAAATACTTTTCCGTCAAATTCAAAATTTTCTGGCGGAAAATCCAAAAAAAGTTGACAAAGGAATCGAAACTCACTCCTTTGAATCGTGACAAGAGATCCTTTCCCAGTTTCTCGACAAGGACATTCGAATTCATGGCAAAAACATGAGTAACACTCTTCGTTAACCGGTCTTCTTCGATCACTGCTCCCATCTGGACTAGCTTCTGCTTCCAAATCTAGATTCATATCACAAGAAAAACCGAACCACGAAATAATCAGAGAAGGAGCTAAGAAATCCGTCGTCGACAACGGAAAATCATAAACTTTTGCTTCCTGAACCTGCAATCGACGGCGTTGCACTCCGTTTTCCACCATGAAAACCACCATTCCGGCGAACATTCCATTTGGTCCCGGCGACGACGACCGGTTTCTACCTCGTTTTGGCGCCATTTCTTCTCCTCTCTCTCTCTACGTTTTTCACCTGCTCTACAAAACTTACTGTGCGTCGTCGGGCTGCTTCCCTTCGAAGTATTCTGGGCATTGTATAAAACGGTGACGTATCAGCCCTTTCTTTAACCGGTGCCGGTTTAATCCGGTATGCCTTTCCAACAAAACCGAAACGTGAACCAATTTCTATTTCCATCCGACTTTTAGGCTTTTAGCGTCTCAACGCTCCAATGCTTAGTGAGAGGCGAACCACAATTTCATAATTTATTTCACGGTTATAAATTGGAGAGAACTTTCTCACATAATCATAAAATAAAACAAAAATGTGAATAAAAATGAAACTCATAATGGCATATGGTTACAAGATTACACCAAAAGAAATGGGCCTTGTCGTCCTCAAAAGAAAATTTCAACTTCTTTCTCAGTCATCTCAAGAACATGATCTCTAGCATCTGTAAGAGCACCCTGCACGTCACAAAAAACCAAGCTATTTTAACAAACATCTGTCTGTTCTGACAGACCCCGAATCGAAAAGTTTGTTTTTTTACCTGTCCAAACTTGGTAATGAAGTTGTTCCCGAGGTTTATCGATGTAACTGTCACATCTTCGTTCGCCTTCAGGGCTTGAGCAATTGCAAATGCCCCGTCGTCCTGCAATGCAGAACAGAATATCAGACTCTGGTTGTTGCTACCTTTACGAGTGTCTTTGACACGATTTCTCGAATAATGTTTTTACCCGAATCTCGTTGAACCCTAAATCTATCGATGTCAAAGCTTCGTTAACTACTTTCAAGCTCCGAGCCAAGCAGGAGGCACCCTGTGAATGATGCTTGCACATAGATTATAAACCGAGCATTTGATAGAGAGATTATGATTCTATAGAACAAGCCGTTGAAGGAAGACCTCGTCTCGAAGTCCATTAGCCCGTAAATCCAGAACCGATATTGTGTTGTTATATCTTAGCGAGTCTGCAATGAATTCCGCACCTTTAGCTCCTATCTGTAAGACATATACATTGTCATAAAGCCGAGAAAAACGAGCAAAAATGGCGGTTGATTATGGAGAAAAATTGGATTGATGGGAATTCACGGACTTACCTGACACCAACCAAGTTTGAGCGTTTTAACGTTACCATGGAACTTCAGAATTTCGGATAATGCTTTAGCTCCGTCGGCTCCGATGGGATTATAACCAAGCTCCAACTGAAGGAGATATCGTCTTATAACCATTGTCTCAGAAGTTGCAAATGAACAAAGAAACAGATACGATGCAAAAACATTAATGGCGCTGACCGTTGTAATAACAGTATTATCTTTCAGGGCTTGAGCTATGGCGGCAACTCCCTCAGCATGGATGTTATTTCCACCCTGTCACAGACAAACCAGTTCGAGAAATATTCCCTTTCATAAATCTCTTAGTTGGAACAAGGGTAGGTTGGTAATTTCTTCGAGTTGGAGAAATAGCGGAAAAAAGACGCAGAAGAGGTTATCAGGATTTTTCAGGGAAAATTCGGGTTTTCATATCAATAAATCATAGGTTTTCGAGCTTTGTCCATAACATACCCACAAAGCTCACAGTTGGAAACACTGTCGTAAAAACTCGGGGATATGGAGTAGATAGTAATAGAGAATAAAAAAGGAATTTACTTCTCACCAAGTCTAGGGTTGTGATGGATCGGTTTTGCTTCAAAGCTTCAGCAACCTTTTCAGCTCCCTGAAAGCCATTGGAAATTATTAAGACGTGTGATAAAACTATAGGCTACTCATTCTAAATTCATAGTTTCTCCCCGAATAAACCCCAAGGAGATGAAGTTCATAAAAACCAGGAAAAGAGAAATATACAGATCCGAGATATAATACCTCATCCCCAATATCGTTCATGTACAGGTTCAACCAAAGCAAACTCTTGCTTCTCTTTATGTATTCTGCCACATAGAACGCACCCTTTGCTGTGATGGAGTTGTTACCTATGTCTAATAAAGTGAGTTTTCCTGCACAGTGTATGCATGTCTCAGTTTTAACTGCAGAATTCTCCAGAAGATGGACGAAAGAGTAAAATTTTGACATGTGAAGAATGCTTGATTGAATCAAGCTTAACAAAAACCTCTATGGGAAGATAGACCAGCCATCAGAGCACGAATCCCTTCATCTCCAATGGAGTTCCCATGCAAGTGAAGTTCCTGAAAGCAAACTCTGTTTAGAAATTTTAATAAAAACAAACGGGTAACGAGAGTAATCCGTTGGTTGTCTTTGATGATCATGACATCGAAATTCAGAAACCACCTTTAATACATAATATAACACATTTCTTTCGTGGAATAAACCTTTTACCTTTAAGGATTTGTTACCCTCCAGCCCCTTAGCTAAAGCATTGGCACCCAAAGCACCGCCATAGTTCCCACTGAAACAGATGCAAGTACATCATCATGTAGGGGTTATATATATACTGACCTAAATCAAAAGGCAAGGCTTTAAGACAACATAGATCTAAGGATATTGACTCACTTGAGATGTAAGTTTCGTAATGTATTATTTTCGATAAGAGCTCCAGCTAGACTTGTGAATCCCTACCTCCATTCGAAAAGAAAAAAGGCAGCAGACTAAACAGATTGAATTCATAATGCTGGGTTATTAATTCTTGAGATATAATAGTGTAAGGATAAGTGAAGAGAATTCACTTACAGAATACTCAATCATATTATTATTCAGCTCGATAACCCTCAAAGTTGGATTTCTCTTCAACAACTCTGCAATTTCCTTAGCACCCTGCAAAAAAAAACATTGGACCAAGTTGGAGCATAAGATTAGTGAAAAGTGTCATGGCTAAACTAAGCAAAGCAAACTTGTAAATCATGCAAATTACAGTATCTGTTTAGAGTTTAGACTAACCTCATCTCCAATATCAGTACTGTTCAGCTGAAGTATCTCAATGCTGGAATTATCCACTAATGTAGCACATAAAGCCTGTTGATGTGGATAAAAAGGGAGAAAAAAGACCAAAACATAAGTCAGCAAGAAATATACACACACAAAATAACCTTATTATTACAACTAGAAGTTTTCATCTTTTTATTACAACTAGGTTTCATTAACCATCAGATACTGCATATGGGAAAAAGGTTTAATGCAAGCACATCATATTCCACTAACCTTTGCCCCTTCATCGCCGATTGGGTTCCCAGAAAGGTTAAGGACCCTTAACACGATATTAGCCTGAAGAACACCGTCAAAGGCTTTTAATCCCGCAGCTGTAATTCCATTGGCAGCGAAACTAACTTCCTCTACAGTCTGAAACACAAGGAAAGGTTTGTTCACTAGAAAGTACACAAATAAAGCAACAACAGCCCTTCAAGGAAGATGCTATCAGAAATGCTACGCTTAGAAGAAGATTAAAAATTAAAACGTGGCAATAATAATGTCAGTCAGAGAGACACAGTAATCACGTCATTTGATGGAGTTGTCATAAAGCATAAGCGCACAGTAGAGAATCATAACCTGATTATACCCAAGGCTTTCAGCAAGAAAAAACAATCCTTCATCACCAAAGTTGCATCCTGAAAATTCGGTGTACTCCAGGGTAAGCTATAACAGTTGGTTCTATATCAAGCGTCATGCAAATATAACCGTGTCGCCAAAAACAACACAGATGCAATCAACATTTAGTGCATAAAACCGTAATAATATGGGATATTTTATGCTAAATCTCATTCAGCAAGTCACCTGACATGTCAACACTTCTAAACGACCTGAGCTCTTTGGCAAATTCATTAAGCCTCTGCTTGGCATCTCTATCAACCTTTGCAGCAAATCCCTGTAACAAATTTGTACCAGCAGCAATTGACCATTTCACTCCCGAGGAAGCAGATTTGTTTTCTCCAGCAGAAGTCTTTGAAGCCTTTGGTGACATAAACTTCTCGACCAATTTCCAAAGAACTGTAAGCTGAAGCCATAAATTAGTACAACGACTGAGAAAACGTGACAACAAACGAAATCGTTGGTTCAACATGAGCAGCCCTACACAAGGTTCTGCTTTCCGATATGGTAACAACATAAAAAGGAAGAGTTTCCTTTGAACATTAAATCCCAACATAATCTGTCCCGACTAGGGTCACCGTATCTTCTGGCTCGTCACAGGGCATTTATATAATTATCTCCAATCCGAGATAATTGCACGATTTGTTCGGTTGATTGCTAGATCCTGGCTCCAGTATACTACCAGAGTCCAGACTAGAGATTTTGCACATGGTGCTCAACAGTTGAATGTTCTTGTAACAAAAGTTCCATCAACATTGTCAAAAGCTCCATAATAATCAACCAGAAACATCAAATGTGATCATTAGATCCATAATAAACTGGCAAATGGTGTGTGTCAACTACTTCATTCTTCCATAAACGTCCTTATTCATGTCCCTAAATTCATCAACAGGTTTCCAATGTTCCATAGGATGACAAATAAAAGTATCTCCCAATGATCTCGATTCCAATTAACTCGTCAGAACATCGCCAAAAAAGTAGCAATACGAAGACAATTTCCTATGAAAATGGCAGACACACCAAGCTCCTACCAAATACTAATTACCCATGAAAAATGAGAAACACGCGAAATTCATGTCCGAGAATTCATGAACAGAGGACAAACAGCTCGAAAACAAGCGACGCATACCGAAAGTGACGACCACAAAACTGCCCACCGGTAAGACGGACGACGCAATCTGCTTCACCCGAGCATTAGCAAAGCCACTCTCCGCCTGTGACTCCCTATAATCCCTACGCCTCGAGCTCTCACCTGCGTTATACGCCGCCTTAATCACCGGACGCCGGAAACTCCGCCGGGAAACCGCCACTTGAGGAGGAAACAGCCCGTTGCCGGAATCAGAGCCGCCGAAGCGTGCAACCCGCAACCCACTTCTCTGGCGAGCCGACCCAGCAGAAACCTCCGGATAGAATAGCGGCAAAATCAAAACCCGGAAAAAAAAATTAAAAAAATGGAAAATGCAACTGCGAGTGAGAGAAGTGGTGATACCTTGGTGAGAGATGGGAGAGAAAGAGAGGTGGAGGGAGAAGACGCCATTAAGTAAAAGTTTAAACACGCATAAGGGGCGTACAATTTCTATCCTGCGCACCACTGAAGACGACGAAGAAGGAGAAGGAGAAGAAGGAGTGAAGCGGCGGGTTGAAGTTGAAGAAGAAGAAGAGAAGAAAAAAAGATTGAAGATGATGATTTATTCAGGTCGGGTAATCGGGTCGGATTATGAACCGACTCTTAACCGGCTTACCGGGCTGGTGTACAATTACGGCCCGGTTTAGTGAGAGGAGAATAATATCTAAGATCTCAAATATTCAACGGCTGAGATCTTCCGGTGAAAAATATTAATCCCTCGTATAAAGACCCTCTCTTCTATGTCTTGACGGAACCGCTTCTGCTGGACTATGCAAACAATGGCGTTCTCTAGAATCGCGGCCCAGAATCCAACACTTTTTTGGATGAGAAACTCGAACCCACGATCTGACTATGTCGTACGATGTGATTCGGTTTCGTTCCGGGGTTCGAATTCGAGATTCGGTCGGAGTAAGCGCCTCTCTGTTCGATTCGCTTCAGTTCCAGGTACGAATCGATTCGTAAATTGGGTTTCTGTTTATCTCCTTAGGTGAATCTTTGTTAGCTTTGAATTTCGTTTCAAAAATAGGTTTTATGATGGTTCAACTCGTGATCTTTTATTCGATTTTTGACGAAGTGAATTGTATCTCCCTGCAAAATTTGTTTTTATTATGCATGAAATAGGGTTACTAACAATTCGGGGATCCTATCAGTTCTTCCTGTATGGTTTTGATGCAGTGAACTTTGAATTCATTGTAACGGTTGTCGAGCAGAGATATTTCTCAAACTTTTGTAATTATATGCATGATGAACATTTTTACCATTGTGTACGCAAAAATCAAGTTCTAGGTTGAGAAAGTACTTGTATTTCACTTATCAAGTTGGTTTTGTTGGAGGAGATGAATTGGGATTTGCTCTCTGTTTATGTATCTGCATTTCTCATATAATTTGTGAAGTTGAGTTTCTATTTTTTTCTTCATGTCATGAGTGAGAGCTTGACTGGTGTTATGTTGTGGTTCTTGAATTTCTCAGTGGCACCCGCCACCGAGGGATTAAATCCTGCGATTTCTCTGACGGATAATGCACTTAAGCACCTGAACAAGATGAGGTCGGATCGAGGGGAAGACTTGTGCTTGAGAATTGGTGTGAAACAAGGGGGGTGCTCAGGCATGTCTTACACAATGGACTTGGAGAATAGGGCTAATGCAAGACCAGATGACTCGGTCATAGAATACCAAGGATTCACAATAGGTAACTTCTCTGCCTGCGTTTTGTTTTTAACTCATCTTTCCTTTTTAGATGATTCAGCAACCGACAGTTGGGTCAGGTGATGATGAATATCCCCTTTTGTGCATATGCATACCCATGTTCTTAATAGAACAGAGTTGTTAGGTCATAAACAGCACGATGTGTGCACCATTATCTTCATGTTCATGGTCCTTCTACTTTTTCCTTTCCGGGTCCTGTCATCGTGTTGAATACCGGGAATTTAGTGCAACCGCCCTTCAACGTACAACTACGATGATTGATCTTTGAGTCTAGAGTCTAGACAACTCTTTTGGCTTCCGAGCGTGAAAAATCAGTAGGAAGAACTAAGATGGATCATGGATGTCATTTGGTAATTGTAGATCGATGCCTCAAGTATATGACAGGAAGGGAACGTGTATCTGTAACGTGAAAAAGCTAAGGATCCCTCTGTGTTCGTCTTTTACAGTGTGTGATCCAAAGAGCTTGCTCTTCATATTCGGAATGCAATTGGACTACAGTGATGCCCTGATAGGAGGCGGTTTCTCTTTCAAGAACCCTAATGCTACACAGACCTGTGGATGTGGAAAATCCTTTGCTGCTGAGATGTGAAAAGCTTTTCTATCAGTAATGTAACAGAAAAAAAAAATGTATTACTTTCTTTTGAAACTTTGTATATTCAGTGGAAAAGAAATTACAGATTCAACAAATGTCCAAAATCCTTATAGTTAATTTTTTTTTTTTGGTAATATTTGCCCCCAAATGGGATTTGAACCCCTGGTTGGAAGCATTTTGTACAATCCAACCATTAGGCCACTCCACCTTGGTCTTTATGGTTAGTTTTCATGCAACAACAACAGCATCTTCATCCCAACTTTTTTTTTTGTTGTCCATTCGTCTAGAACTTTGCCTCAACTAATCCAGACCCGATCCGACCCAGGTCGCGCACGCTGGGTCTCGAACACGAGACCTACTTAAACGAATTCGAGCCGTTTACCATTCGGACCAACCTCACTTGGTCATACCAACTTTATTTAAAACCAACTTGATGAATTTTTTAATTTATTTCGATTTTGGGTTAAACATATATGCATATACTAATCATACATGCATACATACACACATCAATCTTTGCACATATATATATATATATATATAATGTATATCATGTTCCTTTGTCGATTGTACACGGGCAATCACATTTCCTTGGAAGAAAAATCTTGCATATGCCTTACGAAATCATTGATTCTATTTAATAATTGCTTTTACAAAACTTACATCAAACGCCTTTGTTTAATTATTTGAACGAGAATCATTCAGACTAAATAAAATAAGTACATCTTCCTTTTAAAAACACGCATAACGAGTCTTTTGAAAATAATGCTTCTGAAATAATCATAAAAATATATAGGAGTGTATTTAATTTTATGTTAATGATGTGATCATGGTCCATTTAAAAAATTAAAATGACCCACTTAACTTTTTATATACCTTTAATAATAATAATAATAATAATAATAATAATAATAATGCAACGGTGGCTGGCTTACTGATTGGGCATTTTTAAATTAATAGTTATATATCAATCAAAATATAAGAAGGATTGTTGAGTACAGATGGGCCAATTCGTGATGAACCAAAGTTTAATCAATTAATCAACATGAATCTATCCTTTTTTTATTCTCACGTATAATCAATTAAGTAGATAATATTATCTCTTCTTTTTATGTGAAAATGGTTATTTTCCACGTGTTCTTGATTGATTGAGTTGGTACTTATCCCCATGTATAGTTTATATCATCCCTTTATGCCCATATATATATATATATATATGCATAGATATGCATGACCACCTGTTACATACATGTGTGTGTATATATATATATGGGATGCAAACTATAGAATGACCGGTGTTAATTAGAACTAAGTGATCCCCACCTATCGGCTAGACATTTGTTTTCAGAAATTTATTTTATCACTTGTTCCATTGATCTTATTTTTCTATCATTACATGCCATCTTTAATTCATTTATACGATCCAAAGTTTGAGACTTTTGTCCTTTTTATTTTGTTTTGTCTAGATTGCATTTACGAAATTGCGTTTAATGTCGAGATCAAACTCAAATTCGGACCAAAATAAAATAAAATTCATTCGATCGTTAAGACTAATATTTTCCAGTCAAACTGATAATTCCTATAATATTTATTAACCCAGTGATTTAAACAAAAACATGTGTCAATAAATTCGGCTCTTTCTTCATTCTACTTTGTCCCTTTTTACCGTTAAAAACATAATTTTGTTGGGATACACTGAAATGCTCCCGAAGTTATCGAAGACGTATATATACCAAAATAGGAAACAAACAAAAATAGCAAATGAAGAAAAAAAACTTTATTGGAAAAAATATTCGCGAGATCGGATAAGCATCTAATGCGCATTATTACCAATGTGGAGTTCCGTTTGTGTTGGAAGTGACAAGTGGCTCTAAAGGCACACACACATTAGATATTGTGTAAGTATTACCCAATTTATCATGTCGTTCCAATAACCCGACTAATTTTTCTTCTTCTTTTTTTTTTAATAAAACTAAAATTAAAGTTGACCTCATTTCATAAGCATATTAAATGCATAATTCAATCTAATCTGATGCCAATTTTGTATATTTGGAGACTATTTAGTCATGGTTTTGTTATGTTTATTTATTCTTGTAGCTTGTAGGTTTATTACTGTATATATATATAATAATAATAATAATATATATATTGAAAATAAATGTACTTATGAATTTAATCCAAATGGTTTGAACCAATGCTGTTGAGATCGATTCACGTAAGATTATACATGCAACCCAAACAAAAGTTCCACAATTGCTTGTCATCCGTAGAGATTGTGCTTTAATTAAACCCCACGTCGAAAAGGAACAAATCAATAGCCAGATTTTTTTTATTATATAAATTTAAACTAATTTAAATTTGGACCGACATCGTTGCCGAGCAACATATCTTCTCCTCCTTTTCGCACCAATCCATTTGAAAAACAAAAGGCGCATTGGTCGGGAAAAATAGCAGAAATACCTCTAGTTTGCTACAATGACTTCACGTCATACCCTTCGAAACCCTAGAATTTCAAAAAAAAAAACGAGCAAAAGACATAAAAGACCTTATAAAAAACGATACGTGGCGCAACAGGAAGGGAAGGACGGTTAATCTTCCCCAATCGACACTGTAACTTAGTATTTTTCGAGACAAATTTCGAAATTGCTTCCCTCTGTCTCCCGTTCGAAGAAATCCGGCGAAATCCTATCATTTCTCTCTCGATTCTCAGAAATCAAAACAATGGCTTCAAAATCGAACAGAAATGAAAGCAAGACTTCAACTCCCGCTCGCAAATCGGGACGTGGCGGAAGAAAAAATCAGGAACTGAAGGTAAGTTTGAGTTTGATGCGATGCAAGAAATCTGGGTTTTTTGGTTTGAGTTTATGATTTTTAAGTTAATCGTGTGATTTATGGTGGAAAATGGGTTGTTATACTCACCGAAACGGATTTAGGGTTTACCTGGTTACACTGGTCACGTTGATCACACTGGACTGATTGAGGGTTGATTTCTTCTTTGCAGGTTCCGTTCATATATGATTTTTCAGATATTCAATTCGCACCGAAGATTGAAAGCAAATGCTATTTGAGTCAGACGATAAAAAATCTGAAAGAGGTATTATCTTCCGAGGAGTGGAGGTACTTCAATGAGGATTCACAGTTTCGTCACATATTTCATTTGAAATGTAACGAAAACATGAAGATGTTGCCTGTGTCAGTACTCCTACACCGAACGCTTAAGTTAGAGGAGGAAAAATGGCAGTTATGGTTTGTTTTAAATGGCGTTTCTATCAGGTATTCTATAACCGAGCACGCCATTATATCAGGATTGAAGTGCAACCAGTATCCGGAAGATTGGGAAGGGCGCAGGAAAAGCGATTTTCGGATAAAGACCTTCGGACCTGGGAAGGTCACGAGGAAAGCAGTTATGGAAAAGTTGCAAAAGAGTAAACACAGTCGGATTGACAGAAAGAGATTGGCGACACTGATGTTGCTATCCGGAGTACTCGACCCCGGGAACAGAAACGATGACTCTATCAACCATGATCTGGTTGATATGGTCGATGAACTTGAGTTATGCGAAGAATTTCCGTGGGGCAGGTACTCATTCGACAAATTGGTAGAACAGTTGCGGAAGATTCTACAAAGTCCTACACCGAAGGGGAGATGGCGCTTGACTGGATTTGTTGTCCCTCTCATGGTGCTTCCTTTCGAATGCATTGAAAGTCTTTGCGCAAACAGTTGGTGCACGACTGTTGAAGATGTCGATCCAAGCTGTCCCAAGATGTGCAAGAAGCATATCTCTAACCCCAAATGGACTTTTGGGACGGTGATGAAACAGATTGGGAATGAAGCAAAGGTACGTCACGTTGGTCACGTTGGTCACGTTGGTCACACTGGTCACACTGGTCACACTGGTCACAGTCACGTTGGTCACACTGGTCACACTGGTCATACTGGTCACACTGGTCACGTTGGTCATA